GAGCCATGGCATTAAGGGGTAGGCTGGGTCCCCAAGGATACATATAGGCATTTCAACGTCCCCAACAGTTATTTTCTGGTCTGGGAATAAAGTCCCTTCCTGCAGCTTTTGAAACAGACCATAGTTCCTGAAGATGCGAGCATCATGTACCTTTCCTGGCCATCCCACATTGATGTTGGTGAAACGTCCCTTGTGATCCACCAGAGCTTGCAGCACTATCGAAAAGTACCCCTTGCGGTTTATGTACTCGGCGGCTTGGTGCTCCGGTGCCAAGATAGGGATATGGGTTCCGTCTATGGCCCCACCACAGTTAGGGAATCCCATTGCAGCAAAGCCATCCACTATGACCTGCACATTTCCCAGGGTCACTACCCTTGATAGCAGCAGATCTTTGATTGCGTGGGCTACTTGCATCACAGCAGCCCCAACAGTAGATTTGCCCACTCCAAATTGATTCCCAACTGACTGGTAGCTGTCTGGCGTTGCAAGCTTCCACAGGGCTATTGCCACTCACTTCTCAGCTGTGAGGGCTGCTCTCATCTTGGTATTCATGCGCTTCAGGGCAGGGGAAAGCAAGTCACAAAGTTCCATGAAAGTGTCCTTATGCATGCGAAAGTTTCGCAGCCACTGGGAATCGTCCCAGACCTGCAACACTATGTGGTCCCACCAGTCTGTGCTTGTTTCCCGAGCCCAGAATCGGCGTTCCACAGCATGAACCTGCCCCATTAGCACCATGATGCATGCATTGGCAGGGCCCATGCTTTCACAGAAATCTGTGTCTGTGTCCATGTCCTGATCACTCACGTACCGCGCTGACGTCGCCTCCTCGCCCAGTATTGCTCTGCCAGGTTTCCGGTGCTGCATATACTGCTGGATAATGCGTGTGGTGTTTAATGTGCTCCTAATTGCCAAAGTGAGCTGAGCGGCCTCCATGCTTGCCTTGGTATGGCGTCTGCACAGAAAAAAGGCGCGGAATGATTGTCTGCCGTTGCTCTGACGGAGGGAGGGGCGACTGACGACACGGCTTACAGGGTTGGCTTCAGGGAGCTAAAATCAACAAAGGGGGTGGCTTTACATCAAGGAGTATTTCAGGCAAGACTTCACGAAGGGTTCCAATAAGAAATGGTGCACCTAAGTTATTGTTCTTATTGGAACAAGGAGGTTAGTCTGGCCTCTGATTGATACATGGCTAGATTTACCTCGCTGCACCTTCGCTGTGAGTGACTGCAGTGTGACCTAGAGGAATGAGTCCCCTAGACAGGGGAGGGGGGTGAAGCAAATGAGTACAGAACAAATCTGGTCTATTTCTTGTTTTGATCCACTCCATCTATCTTTTACATCTTTGGCTGGCAGCAGACGGTGCAGAAGGACTGCATGCCATCCACATCTCATGGCTGCTCGGCAGAAGATGGTACAGTACGACTGCTAGCCATCCTCATCTCTTGCCTGCCTGGCAGAAGATGGTACAATACGACTGCTAGCCATCCTCACCTATTGCCTGCTCGGCAGAAGATGGTACGGTATGACTGCTAGCAATCCGTATCGCCTGCCTGCTCACCATAAGACGGTTCAATAGGACTGACTGCAGGACTAAAGACCTGGTCAAGTCACTCCAAATTTAGTCCCTGCGCCCATGTCTGCCCAGGCGCTTCTGGCCGACGTGGCCAGGAGCACCTCGGACATGACAATGACTGCTACCAGTCGTATTGCATCGTCTGCTGCCAGAAGGCAATGGGTTGCTGCTACTGTGTAGCAATGCAGTATCGCGTCTGCCAGCACCCAGGAGACATACGGTGACAGTGAGCTGAGCGGGCTCCATGCTTGCCGTGATATGGCGTCTGCACAGGTAACTCAGGAAAAAAGGCGCGAAACGATTGTCTGCCCTTGCTTTCACGGAGGGAGGGAGGGAACGGGGGCCTGACGATATGTACCCAGAACCACCCGCAACAATGTTTTAGCCCCATCAGGCATTGGGATCTCAACCCAGAATTCCAATGGGCAGCGGAGACTGCGGGAACTGTGGGATAGCTACCCACAGTGCAACGCTCCGGAAGTTGACGCTTGCCTCGGTACTGTGGAAGCACTCCGCGGAGTTAATGCACTTGGAGCATTTTCTGTGGGGACACACACACTCGAATATATAAAACCGATTTCTAAAAAAACAACTTCTATAAATTTGACCTAATTCCGTAGTGTAGACATACCCTGTGAGCCTTGCTGCTGACGGTTGGTCTACTGTTGGTTTTTCCAGCCTTCTTCATATCCCAGAGCCTGTTTCCTGCCTGTGGGTGTGGTCACTGTGCTCTCTTGGGGTATGTCTACAGAGGAATAAAAGGCCTGCGGCATGGCCCGGATCTGCTGACTTAGGCTTGCGGGGCTAGGGTTGCGGGGCTAAAAGTTGCAGTGCAGACGTTCAGGCTTGGGCTGGAGCCTGAGCTTTGAGACCCTCCACCCTTGCAGGGACCCAGAGCTCATGTCCCAGCCCAAGCCCGAATGTCTGCAAAAGCAGTTTTTCAGCCCCAGAGCCCAAGCCTTGCAAACCTGAGTCACCTGACCTGGGACAGACGTGGTTTTTTTAGCCCTGTGTAGACATACTTTGGGTAGTTATTGTGGCTGGCCACCAAGTAGAACTGTTGTCATGTCTTTCTTGCAGCAAGTATTTTCTGGCTTTAAGACTACATGGTTTTCTATTATTTCTCTCGTCCATTGTCACGAGAGGCAACCTGCACCTCCCTGCGGTCTCTGCCAAACGGGCTTTGCCCTTGACAGGCCTGCTATTTCGATGGATAAATTTTCCCTGCCTTCATGGACGGCCGAGTTTCCCTGGGGCTCTGTAGCCTTTTGAGTATTCTCACACAACCTGCTTCCCCACAAGAGTCTGCTGCACAGACATGGCTTCTTCAGCTCTTGAAATTGAGTATTACATCTGGGGCTGCCAGGTGTCCAGTTTTTGACTGGAACACCTGGTTGAAAAAGAACTCTGGCATCTCAAGTCAGCACCACTGACTGGGCTATTAAAAGTCTAGTCGGCAGCGCAGTGGGGTGAAGGCAGGTTCTCTGCCTGCCCTGGCTCCGCGCAGCTCCCAGAAGCGACCGGGAACCGTAGCCAGTGGGAGATGTGGGGGTGTCACCTGCGGGTGCGGGCAGTGCACACCACGCAGAGCCATCTGGCCATGCCTCCACCTAGGGGCCGGACATGGTGGCCGCTTCCAGGAGCTGCGTGGAGCCAGGGAAGGCAGGAAGCCTGCCTTAGCCCTGCTGCACCGCCACCTGAGAGCCGCCTGAGATAAGCATTGCCCGGTTGGAGCCCGCACCCTTGCCCCAGCCCACAACCTGAACCCTTCATTTTTGGCCCCTCCCCAGAGCCCGCACCCCCTTCTGCATCCTAACTCCCTGCCCCAGCCCAGTGAAAGTGAGTGGGGGGGAGCAAGCAATGGAGGGAGAGGGACTGGAGTAAGTGGAGGGCAGGGCCTTGGAGAAGGGGTGGGGCAGGGCCTCGGGGAAGGGATGGGGCAGGGGGCGAAGCAAGGGTGTTCGATTCTGTGCCGTTAGAAAGATAGCAACCCTCATTACACCAGGGGTCTCTAGCCTCTTTGTACCTCTTGGAACCAGTAGGGGATATGGTATAACGGCTTGACCTGGCTGATGCACCAAGTAACCTTCCTTGACAGGCCTCTGTTTTCTCTTTTGCAGCCCTATTGCATGCATGGGGGTATGGTTAGGTCTAGCATGGGAGGTAGAGTAAGGTTGGCTCAAGTGAAATGTTGTGTCTCTCCCTTCCTCTTTCAGATATGCAACAAGTTGGTCTGTCTATCCCCATTTACAATTGGCTGGGGGCAATAATCACATGGCACAGTGTTACAAAATGAAAGAAAAAAAAATCTAAGTCTCTTTTTTGGATTCTCAAAATGCTTTTCCTATGGTTGGGACAGGGTGTCTCTCACTCATCATACAGTGAGTGCCCTCACTTTCAGCCTCCAAAATTCTCTTCTTCCATCATGCCCACATGTAAATACTCTGAAGGGTAAGGATCACAACTCTTCACCAGCCTGTAAAGCACATTGCTCACTGTTGGTGATATGCAAATAAATAAGCTGTGTTTCCTTATATATTAGCTTTTTGTATTATTTTGTTTGGTACTGTGCTCATTCATGGATATAGATTGTAATCTCCTCATCAGAGCTGGTTGGAAAATGAGAGGAAAACATATGCAAAAATGTTCATGAAATTTCAGCTCCATTTTTTGTAGAAATTTCATTGTTCGTGAAATTTTCCAGCCAGCTCTTTAGGGCAGGAACTTATTGTTTGGAAAACTTCACATATCTTAAGTCTGGCCTAGTGGATAGAACACTGGATTAGAGCTCAGGAGACCTGGGTTCCATTCCTGCTTCTGGCTTACTCAGAGACCTTGGGGAAATCCCTTCACCTCTGTTTCTCAGATTCTCAATCTGTAAAATGATGATGATGTTATTTACCATTTTTTTAAAGTTCTATATAAGAGCTAGATGATAATAGTATAAGGTGCCTATGTAATAGGGTGACCAGATGTCCTGATTTTATAGGGACAGTCTCAATTTTGGAGTCTTTTTCTTTTATATGTTCCTATTACCCCACACCCCTGTCCCAGTTTTTCATACCTGCTGTCTGGTCACCCTCGTATGCATGCAACATTACCCTGGATGCCATTAAAATCTTTATACTCAGGGTTGTTACTGCATATCTCATACTACAATTTTTCTCTATTCTGAGTAGAGGGAAGACTGCCTGTACAGCAGCACAGGTAAATGTTTCTGTGCATTAATTGTCTAGATTTTAAGGATGACCACTGGATATATAAATAATTGCCATGGGGTTATGGTTCCAGATTGTTACAGCCTTTGGTTTAGTGGGAGACTGGAGAAGATCTCGTTAGATTCATATTATTGCACCTACTCTCTCTGCTTTGGGTTGGGGGATTATATTATAGAGAGTAACAAAGTTGCATTTATTTTTCTTTTCAGATAAAACAAGACAAACCAGAAAATATACCAGATCTAAAAGATTTAGTGAAAAAAAAATTCACTGCATTGGAAAGCAAAAACGATGACTCAGATTTGCAAAGAAATGAAAAATATATACATTTTATGGAACAGCTTAAAAGAATGAGAAAACAGTGTAAGTCTTCATTTTTTAAAATAATGGTTTCCTGGAAATACAGTGTGGTTCTATATACATATAATATGTTGGTTTATTAATAGAATGTTTTAAAATACAAACCAGCCAAACAGAACTCAGATATTTATATGCATTCCTCATACAGGACTTATTTAAATTTATCATTCACATAGTTAAGTGAACAGCCCAGTAAGTAACAACCTTATTATTTTATTTAATCTGTCATAGTGGCTTGTCTTATTTGCATACATATGCAATGCAAAGCTTCTTTCACATCCCTTTTTTCTGTTTGAAGGTGGGTTTTTCTTTTAAAAATACTCTTTTCTCTGAATTGGTAGGATCTCCAAAAAGGAGATCCTAGGTAAGCTGTTTTCATTTGTTGTTTTAACAAATTGCCCCTATTTCACAACTTAGGATATGTTGCAACCCTAAAGAGACCTTTGCTTTAATCGTAGAACTATATTGCTGGAAAATGCTTACTGTGTGTGTTCTCAGGTTTACTGCTTCTACACACGCACTGTGTAGCTTATTAAAATCTGTCTGGCTTAATTCATGTTGATTGACCAAGTGGTAAAATTGTAAATTATTGCGCTCGAGCTGTCAGAGAAGTGAGGAAGTTAGCAGTTCTAATGTTTATACAAGACAACAAAATTGTTTGGTTTTTTTTTTATTGCACAGTGACTGTAATAGCTATTAAAAAATCATTCTGAGCAGCCATGCTGGGAAAATTCATGGGTCCTAAAATCATACGTATCATTCTCACCCTGTCCCATCATGATTACACTTTAGAATCATATTGTTTCGCTTTCCATCCCTTGACCCCTGTCCCTGTGTCGTTCTCCCACAACACACACATACTTGGATTTCAACATAAACTGATAGCTCAAGTATTGCAGGAATCATAGATTAATGATTTACACACTTGAAAGCTGAGACGCTGGGGGCTTTCATAAAGCAGTGTTTTTCAACTTGCAATCCTGGTCGCTGATCCAAAGCCCATTGAACTCAGTGGAAGGACTCTCCTGTTGACTTCTATGGGCTTTGGATCGGTCCCCTAGAAAGACTTATGGAGTGAGAGGATGATGATATTGAATTGTAGGTCTGATCTCTCAAGACTTGTCTGGAGTAGAGATGAATGCTGTGCATTATTTGAAAATTGAGACCCCAAGTTCTCCAGTGATGTGTGACGTTTGTTTCCCATCCTTATGATTTGCAAGATATTGGGCTTCAGAACGATCATTGGTCTATCAGCCTATCTGTGCTCTTGGGACTGAATATAGCAAGACGCAGACCACAACCAGTGTAACCTTCAGTTCCTGCATAATCATCAAATTATTTCTGCCCTGCCATTACGTTGTAATTCCAGATTTCCAGGTGTTAGTTTCTGAATTACAAAGAGCTTGATAATAGAAACTGGATTTGTTTCCCACCCTGTAATTGGCTGTAGATTGCCTGCCTAAATATATTTTATCTATGGCCAAGTGACCAAGTATTAACCAGTAGAATTATTAAACATCACCCAAATTAATCAAGCATAATAGGAATGGCTGTTTTGTTTTTTTTTATAGGAGGGGAATATTTTATTGTTGCTGTTGCCTGAAACCCAGTTGATGTTTCTCTTAATAGCCATTAGGATTTTTGTTTTGGTTGTTCACTGAAGACAAATTAAGAGGGTGCCAGCAGATGTTGATGTTGGATGGACCAGTGTGCTCTGTACGTGGACTATTGATCAGTTGTGGCAGTTTGGGAGCAGTCGCACACATGTTGGTTTTGATCCGGTGTTCCATCACGTTTGAGCCTATCACAATGTTTAGAATAATCCGAAAGGTTGAATGGAAAAACATTAGATGAACTTTACAGGCAAACTTGAGTACACTCTAATGATCCTACATTAAAATAAACACACTGGAACCTCTCTCTTGCTCGTTCGCTCTCTCTCTGTGTTATCAAAAGGAAAACTAAATGCCTCTTTATGGCTGAGAATATAAGTGTATCAGAGATGGGAAATGCAAGTTATACTCCACAAAGCAACCACAACTCTGCTGCCTTGTGCACCTGTCCATAGCATGCACATATCCATGCCATCTCTTGTTCATGAACACCCTCCCTGAAGTGGACTGTAAAGCTAATATTCCTTCTTGCTTCTGTGTTTCCTTAAGAACCACTTTTGCCATAGAGCCTACAGGACATTGCCAAATGATAATGGTTAGGTAGAGAGCCAGCAGGGATTGTTCATATTCAATTGATATATAGAATTTCTATAATTTAATTGAATAATGATTTGGAACCATCAAACTGTGCACTAGCTAATCGTGTAGCCATGCGATCTTATTGCTGATACTCTTGTCCTTCACCCTCTTTCTCTCCTATTGTTTGTTACCCCCACATGTCACTTGTCTTAACCCCCGCCCCCCCCCCCCCAAAAAACCCCTGAATCTGCAAGCACATGAGTTGAACTCATTGAGACTACTCGTGTGCTTAAAGTTAGGCACATGTCTAGATTTTTGTAGGCTCAGAGGCTAAGAATGTAAACTCTTTGGGGCAGAGACTGTGTTTGCCTATGTGTTTGTACAGTACCTAGCACAATCAGGTCTTGATCCTGATAGGAACCTCTGGGCACAACTGGACTATAATCAGTAAATATTAATAGTATTCTAAAATGTAAGATTGGACCTATAGAATAGTGTCAGAATCTACCTAAGCCAGTGTGTCTAGAGAAGGAATGAGCACAGGGATGGGAGTCAAGAAGTTCTGAGTTATAATCCCAGCTCTGTTGCTGATTTGGGGCCTAATTCAAAAATCACTGAGGTAAGGGGCAACACTCCCATTGGTTTCAATAGGGCGTTAGATCAGGCCTATTGAGCACCGTGGACATACTAAGTATTGTTGTTAGAATTATTTGAGGGGGTCAACAAGCATGTGAACATGGGGGATCCAGTGGATATAGTGTACTTAGATTTTCAGAAAGCCTTTGCCAAGGTCCCTCACCAAAGGCTCTTAAGCAAAGTAAGCTGTCATGGGATAAGAGGGAAGGTCCTCTAAGGTAGCTAAAAGATCGGAAACAAAGGGTAGGAATAAATAGTCAGTTTTCAGAATGGAGAGAGGTATTTCTTCACACAACGCACATTCAACCTGTGGAACTCTTTGCTAGAGGATGTTGTGAAGGCCAAGACTATAACAGGGATCAAAAAAAAACTAGATAAATTCATTGAGGATAGGTCCATCAATGGCTATTAGCCAGGATGGGCAGGGATGGTGTCCCTAGCCTCTGTTTGCCAGAAGCTGGGAATGAGCAACAGGGAATGGATCACTTGATGATTACCTGTCTGTTCATTCCCTCTTGGGTACCTGGCATTGGCCACTGTCGGAAGACAGGATACTGGGCTAGATGGACCTTTGGTCTGACCCAGTATGGCCATTCTTATGCTCTTATGTTCTTATGGTTAATTTAGCAACAAATTAGAAGATCTGGTGAATTCTCTCTCGTTCTAAGGTATGATCTGATATTGAATCTGTAGTACAATGTGTAAGTATTCTTTAACATGTACTTGTAATATAAATGACTACAAATGACTTTGCATTTGCAAAAGGGTAGTGTTAAGGTTGTACATGGATCCTGAACTGCAGCTTCACTGCTGATTGCTTAGCCATGCAACTTGATCAACACTTTCAATAAAGCTTTTGGTATGGAATTTCCTGGATTATAAAAAAGAAAGAAAGAAGAAAGCAAGAAAAGTATAAAAAGGAGATAATTTCTGTTGGGTTTTCAAAAACTCCAGAACTATTTGGCTAGGCACCACTGGACCATGAGGTACCACGCACTTCAGAAAATTCTGCAAGAAAGAGACCCTTTCCTGTGAATCTTTGGAGTTTGTCAGATGGGTAAAGTGCAATAAACCCTCCACAGCAGCAGAGGTGATAGGGTGCCTCAAAGCAGGATTCCTTACTGCATATCTTTCAGACTGCAGGTACTCTCCCTCAACCCCTTGTTCAGCACTGTGCAGCTAAGTTAGGCATGCATGATCAGGTGCACAGTGATGCATTCCTTAGCTGCACGTTGCATAAGCTTAGTGAAGAATGCTGCAAAATATACTGTGCATGCATGACAAGTGATTTTCAAAGATGCCTAAGTCCCTTTTTCAAAATTGACTTAGATTCTTAAGAGAGACAAAGGTAGATATGTACCACCTTCTGTTGGTTTAAGGAACAAACTTTTGAGCTACACAGAGCTCTTCTTCAGGTCCCTTAGATTCTTAAGTCACACAATCATGACTTAGTCTCCTAGGTCACTTAGGCACTTTTGAAAAATGCACCTGAAGTTAAATCCAAACCAATTATAACTGGAGCACTGCTAAGCACTTCCATCACTGAAGACTATTTCATCTTTCTACTCTTAGCTGCTTAGGTTGTCGAGCAGTTTAAAAAGAAAATACAATTATTTCTTTTATTATGGCAAAATTACATTTTTTACCATTTCCCCCTCTCAAAAATGGCTGAGTTGTCAGTGTTCAAATGTTTAAAAGAAATCACTTTTGGACACAGATGAATTGTGGAAAATGTAATAAAGTGTGGAAATTTCAGGAGGTTCTAAATGACTGCAAATGGGGTTAGTAAGGAAACTGCTCTACAGCCTTAACTATAGATATGACTCCCACTATAATGCATACAGGTCTCGATTCTTCAAAGTGCTGAGTGAGTGATCTGTCCCTGATTTAGTGAAATACTTAAGCACATGCTTAACTTTAAGCACATGAGTAGACACCTTGAAATAAATGGGATTACGCATGTGTTTGAATGTTTTGCTTGCTTGTGATGAGAGCTCAGCCCCTTGCAGGATTGACCCCAAGGGGACTAAGTCATGGTTACTTTGGAATCATAACTTTGCATTTTGTGTCTCTTGTATGTTGTTAAAATCTCAACTACTGTATAATATTGCACTAAAGTAGGCTTTTCATTTGATGCCAGTGTATATCAAAGGCACCCTCTGGAATGCTAGATGA